TGAATACGTCCGTGTGTCACAAGTTTTCGACAATGAGCTGTTATCACCGAAAAACTGTTAAATTCTTTTTCAATGCTCAGTTTATCTTTCGAAAACAACTAATTTCTTGATTTAAAAAAAAAAGTCATGTCGTTTTCCTATGGAAATTAAAGCCAAAAGATCGCACTACATTATCGGTAATTCCCTTCCGGGTTTCGTTCACCATGAAATCGGTGACCTGTCATTAACATATTTAAATGAACTAAGGTAATTTGAACACGTGGGCACCATCCAGCATTTTGATTGGTTAATTAGCGACTTGACCTACCCGGTCAAGTAACGTCTCGTGTGCATTCAAACTACATGGCGGATGTCGTATTGTATCGATCGTTTACATGTGACCGAAATAATTCGCTTACGGTGAAGTTGAATTTTACTTGCATTTGATAACAATTCAACAAATTTATTTTTCGTGCGTTATTATAATCACTACTGAGTAATAATCAACAATTTCAACACTTCGAAAACAAGTAAGTTATTCACTTGTGAGCCGAAGCATGGCTTCGAAGGATTGCGTTACCGTAACCACGGTACTGTACTTTTTTAGTGCCGTACCATGATCATTCTACTAAGCAATGAATTAATGTTTTTTGTTTTTTTTTGAAACTCCTGTCAGAATGTACTTTCCGTTACGAAGAAAATAAAAAAAATAAATGCATATTACATTAAAATAAAAGTATTTTTTTCATGTGAACAGTTTTTTTTGTGACGTGACGCTTATCACTCTTCCCTGACATCTAAATTGGAGTTACGCTTATATTCAAAAGATTGTCCGGTGTATTGTTTGTTTTGTGCAAGTGATGTGGGAAAAAAATGACTACGCCCATTTAGTGATTGCAATATGTACGTAATAGAAACCGCGCCTCGAACTTGAGCTGTTGATCCCAATTTTTTATTTGATACAATGTAATATAAACCGCGGTTTATAATAGGATTTTAACGGTACTAGTTTAGTAAGCGTGCAAAGATGTTAAACAACCGTCAAAAGTTCAAATACTTTTTGTTTTAACTATCTATAATTATATGCACGCAATCTGACCCTTTGACAAGGCGGCGTAGAGTTGTCGCGGTGAAACAGTCTTGAAATCGATGGAACTTCAATTATCCATTTCTCACCTTGAAATAAAATAAAAAAAATCGAAGAGCATCGGGGATATATTATTATCCAGTCTTACCAATCGCTAGCTTTATTTTATTCAAATCCATAAAATTCACGTGTTTTTCGATATTTGTTGGCAACTTCCGCGCTAAAAATGGTTGAAAATGTGGGTGTGGTTCTCTCGCAAAGTCCCGTTGATAATACGAACAAATATGGTTCTGTGACCCATGTCGTGCTTCGATCAGGTGACTCTCAGCCGATCAATGATGTTGTAACAAAGCATATTTTACGCTAATTTAAGGGTCGTCGTACCACCCAATCTCCGGCGTCAGGCTGTGACAGGCTTCACAATTATTCACTGAAAAACATTGGTATATTTTGACAAACTGCTAGGATTTGACCTCAGTTCAAAAAAAAAAAAAAAAATGCCTAATTTGCATATAATTTGCATATCATTTACATAATAGAAATTGACCAAAGGACATTCACACCCACACAATAAACAACATATATTTAAAAAACAAAGTGGCAGATATTTATTTGCTTCACACAGATAAACACTTTTATTTTGGGCACTTTTGTAATATTAATGAGCTACAACGAACAAATAACACTTCCAAACGATCATCAAAATTACGACGTGACATAACTTACTTCGCGATGTTATCTTACTCGGTCATGATTGTTTTTTGATGCCATGCAAAAATTAAATACTTTTTTTTTTATATGAGAAAAACATAAAATTTGAACGAGTTTTATCGGGAGAAGTTATTTTTGATCACTCGATCACTTCGGTGAAAAACACAGACCCGCCATAATAGTTATGACGCATTAGTTGACCGGCATGTGTCCTTTGACCCGGTGGGTCAAAAACGCCATTAACGAATCAGAATGCCGCATGGTAATGCCGGTAGAACCCGAAGTTTTCCGAATGATCGTGATCATAAAAATTACATTGCGGAAGTAAAGCGATGTCGTAGCACGATGTGTTGGTATGAATTTCAGATGAAAACTGCATGATGGTTTTCGAAAGAGGTGATTAGAAATTTTTAAAAGGTAAAAGAAGTCTTGAAAGAAGAGTTTTTACATGATTCACGATGATACATTTGTAACAGTTCAAATGTATTTTACCCAATCACGCAATAAACACGTTTTTTCTTGAGTAGCGTAAACTGATCGTGAACTCCGCTTTGCCCATGTTACATCGAGCGGAATTGATTTTGAAAGAATTTTAGCTTTCAATTTAAAGACTGCGTCTATCGTCAGAAAGTATTTACTTACAAACAAAGAGGTGCTAATTTTACAAAATTGACTTGTATTGTTCAATCGCAGGACTATGTCTATTGTTTACAAATTATTATCCACGACTGGCAGGATGCGTGTCGGTCGGTACGTAAGTATAATAACAATATGGCAATAGTCCTGGTCGGAAGCGTTTCCGTGGTGGTCGCTAATTTTGAGTGCCGGTCGGGCCGACAAGCGTGACAAGATCCCCAATGAAAAAAGCACTGTGGCGGCCTTGCTAATCACCGTGGCGGTGTCAGACCAGTGTGGCGGCAAATCGAAGCACTGTGGCGGGACCGCCACGCTGTTTACATCCTGGGGAGAACACTGCACGATGATGCCACAAATAAGCGAGGCGAACACAGCTTCAATTTTCAATGACGCAAAGCTGATGCCACAATGATGCGATGCTGAGGCAACAATGAAGCCATGCGTAGGCGACAATGATGCCACAAAAGCCAAAGCTTTCGCGAGAACTGTACTGTAGATACTTGTTAAGTACACTATATATCCTGTGATATGACTGAATGCCTGAAAATCAAACAGCACTGTCAAGTATACAAAGTAAATGACAAAGTTGCAAGACTGTTCAAAGAGTTGCAGTAAAGGTGAAACATGGCACTTCATAGTTAGTCAGCTGATCTATACAGACTATATACTTACACTTGTTGACAAAAGAGGAAATGTGTTTGTCTCTCATCAATTGATCGTTGCTGCATTCATCGTAAAGAACAAAGAGGGCATCGAGCAGACTTTCTCGTGTTGCTAACGTTCTTGGTCCAACACCGACAGTCTTACCCAAGAACAGATGGTGAAGTTTAGAACACCGAGTTACTACCGGTTCTTGAGAGTTGCTGAACTTGCTGGCCATGATGGCAATCTGTAAACAGAATATTGATTAAAACTTATTAATCAGTAAGAACCTTATCATTCTGAGTACCATCACCAAGATTCTCTTTGATTTCCTGACATGATTAAATAATATAGTTTCAAGTTTATATACTCATTGCTTTATAAATAAAAAAAAACAAAAAAAGAAATTCAAAATGACGATTGATCACCATCCAACCAATCACAGCAACGGCAAATTTCACAATTGGATCAATAAAAATAACACAACTTTCACAGTTAACCACATCCATGATTTTTAAATCAGTGCGATTATTTTGTTATTGTCATTTGTTATCAGGTTTTAGAAAAGACTTGGTGAGTCGGTATTCATCTTTTATCATCAAGAAAGACGTTTTAAAACTTTCAATACTTTTAATCAACACCAACAGATTGTAATCCAACTTTGATTATAATGAAATTTAATTCCACAATGAATTCTTTGTGATTGCCAATATTCGGAAACTGATGGTAGTACCACACTATATTGTGATTGGTTAATGGCATGACTGACCTATCAGGTCAAAGGACACAATAGCAGGTCAGGTCAAGTCATGTCCAAGAAAACGTGGCTGATCTCAGCTTTGTACAGAAATGATCAAATGTTATAAAACATTCACTCATGGTAAATCAAAGTTCAAGTTTACAATTGATTTCATATCCAACCAAAGAAATAACACTTTTATATCAAACCATGACTGAATACATGCATGCAATTAGAACCACGCTAAAGTAAGTTACATGGATGTCTAATGGTTTAGATGGTCATTTACAAAATGTTTTGTTTCTTCCACTGTTCCTAAGACCATGTAGAGTTTGTTCTAATTAATCAAAGTGGAGAACAAAAAAAGCACAATTATGTGATCGATCACAATTTTTGTAGTCAATAAATTATGCAAATCTGCCAAATGGGGGATTTTAATGTTTTCATGATTCTAATCCTCTGACGTTATATAGTCGTGTAACAATAAAGTTATACATCGTGTACAATGACACAACAAAGTACTAAATAAAGGTAACAGTGGTCTTGTCTGCACAACCTTTGCATGTTCATTATTTTGAAGGTCGATGCCTAGATATTTGTGGCCATATTGATTCTCCCAAAAGCTTTCATTGAAATAATATGTAGAATGTCTTGTGGTGGTGTCCTAAGTGAGGTCACATGCAAATAGACTGGACAGAAAAGAGCCTGATCATCATATATCTAATCCACGTATTAAACACAGAGTCACCCAGCATGACTTAGCAGAGCTTTCAAAACAAATGGAACGAAATGGACTTCGTCCCTTATATTTATAATGAATCCACCATTAACTATAGAGGGCGTGTTAGTTAGTCGAAAATGGATTGCGACGTTGTTTTTCTCTGTGACCACGAGCGAGTTTAACCATATATTAACAAACCAAAAACTAATCCGCCGAGTAAATGCGATCCAATAATCAGGGGTTGAATTGTTAACATTCAATATGTCACATGTGCCTCAAACTTCATGTACACTCGACCCACACTTGAATCACTGAGGACGATATTACACTGTAATATATAATGCACTCATCTGTTGGTAGACGATGTGGTTATATAAACAGAAAATCACTTACCTTTCGATGTATCCTTTCTTATTTTCTAATAATGTTGAAACTACACCTTTTTTAAAGTGACAAAGACCAACCAACACATTTGTAAGCTCACTCCGCCATAGTAAACGTTCAAAATAAGCGCCTGTCACGTGATATGTATTCAATTATTCGATTGGATATGAGCATCCCAATAGAGCAGTTGATTGGTCGGCTTCTCAGAAGATCAATTTCGAAAGACGGTGACCTCAACACTTGGACCTCGACCTGCTTCATACAAATTAAATTACTACTGCCGCCATTCATTAAAAATCAATTTATTGAAAAGAACTAAAGACTAATATTTTTCAGAAACACTCTGAGTCTCCAAAAATTACTTGATTTGTATTTTATTCGCAATATTTTGCATAATTGTCAACCCATCGTTACACCCAGCTGCCCAATGAAAAAGAGTTTTACGTAATTGAGTGTTGATCCCGCCCAATCATGTGTTTCCTAACAAAAGCATAGCTTATTTATCTCTCTCACAATCGACTTGGCTGTCAATGTACACAGACGCACAAAACAACGTATAGGATAATTTTTCTCTAACATGTGAATGGACCAGCTCCCTGGGATTTGTTTATTTTCTCCATTTAGATTTAGCGGATGAGTAATGGTACAAGCAGTTACGCGGAAATCCAGCATGTTTGTGCCAGACGCGTTGACGATTGTGACAACACTACACTGACACATGCATGATGAAAATGTTACCAGTAAATGAACAGCAGTCCTCATGCTGGGTGTACGTCCTTGAAATGGAAATCCGAGACGTTTACTAGTAAAATCCTTTTCCTGGATTTCTCCTATGGACTATTTAAGAAAGAGAAAGAGAAAGTAATTTATTAGAATCGAAGTGGTGGACGGGCTAGAGAGGCGAAATAAAGTGGAGGCTGATCGTTGTACATTTCCCATACAAAGATGAATTTTGTGTGAAATTGAATGGAAAGAAGGCGAACAAAAATGTCGTTTTCTGAGGATGATCAGTATGGAGATTTTGACGACGAAAATGATCAAAACACGCGCATCGATTCCCCAACGGATACCTCGGATTATAACAGTTACCCGTACAGCATGGAAGACGAAGATCAGGGAGCAACGGCAATTTACAGCGAGAATGATGCGAACGTCATCCGGCGAAACGGCCATGTTGATGAGGATGATGATATCCATGCACAACTTGCACAGAAAGAGAAGGATCTTATACTGGCCGCTGAGCTCGGAAAAGCGTTACTAGAAAGCAATGAAGAATTGTCAAGAAAACAAGAACACTTACAACGAGACTATACAGAGAGAATCGAGGTAAATGTTTTTTTTTTTTTTATTATTATTTTTGCGTTTATAAAAACGCTTTGATAATAATTCAAATTGCCTAGGACTAGGAGATTGTAAAGCAAAATGTTAGATAAGTTTATATTAAACTTGAGTTTATATAAATTCTGAGAAATATGTGATTTCAGGGCTGCAGATATGTATTTAAAAAAGAATACATGATTTTTTTTTTGAACCATGGAACTGAAGAGCCTGGCTGGATTCACACGAATTAATTCTCCTATTGTGTTATATCCAGCATGTTGTTTAGAATGGACAGTATCCATTCATTCTATTCATGACTGTGGTCACAGTGTGGCATTGATTTATCATTCTTTTGTTTCTGTGGTTTTGTTTTTTTAATGACCACCCTTCATCCAGTTACCATGGCAATGGATGAGTGATGAGAGGAAAGACAGTGAATAATAACCTCTGTATCATTTTGTGCTATGATGAAAAAAAAAGAAGTTGGCAAATTGGTTGATTTCTAAAGGGGAGATATTTTTCTATCTTCATGAATACAGTGTGGTGTGAATGTAACTCAAAGTATTGTATTTACTTCAAGCTGGCTTGAATCTTAATTTGCTTTGTGCTCTTCTCTGACTGGAAAATGTCTTGCATTTTACAGTTTGTCACATATATCTCCATTGGAAAATGTACCTTAAAGCGTTACAATCGCCGCAATGCGTCAGGTTCGCTATGGGACGCATATTGACATATACAACGTGTAGCATTTTCATAATGGGTGTGAGCATTGCAATCACATGCATTTTATTTGAATCGCCACGCTTGAAAACTTACACGCGTGCAGTGTTTATTTACAAAAAATTCAAATGCACATATCCAGGACAACCACCTTTAGTCTCTGCAAATAAAATACCTCGATGTGAATTGTGTAAAATCAAAAACCAACATTATATTCGTTTGGAATGTGTGACATGATCTAAAATAGATCCACCCTGCACAAGTATCTCTATGAATACAAATGTTGTACCAGTAATTTCTCATGAGCATCAACCTTGAACTAAATATTTGTATACCCAGGCCAATTTTATTCTCTTTTGGGGGAATAAGAAGAATCTGGAAATTTGTGGAAATTGTAAATTAATTAAGTTAATTATTTTGTAGTAAGACTGTCGTGACTACCACCAACAAGAAATGCAGACAAATGAATTCCAATAAAGCAAGACATTTTATTTTGCTGGGGTATTAAAAAAACCTTTTATATTATTCCCCGTCGAGACCCATTTAAGCTGTATTCAATAGAAATAATCATGATTACAGTGCTTTAAACAGTTAGGAATGAAAAAAAAACAACATGCAAGACATGTTCCCTGGCTACCACTCTATTACCTGCTGGTACATTGTGGTGTGGTATTTTTTGCATACAAATGTAATATAAACCTGTAGATTTGTTTCCCAGGGATCTTAAAATGTCTACAGACTGGTGATAGTATTGTATTAACTAAACTGAACATAGGTTCATTAAACTCTTGCAATGCAGAGTCGACTTTTATATTTTCATATTTTTTCAACAACTTCTATCAAGACCTGCAGCTTATGGTTATGTCCATTTTACAGATTGAATCCAAAATTAAGAAATTACAGAGAAATGCATAAATATCTGCAAAATGTAGCACCAATTTTTTGGCAGGAAAATGATGGTTTGCAAAGAATTACAGCATTGCTATATAATGTAATTCAATGTAGGCATATAGATAAATATACATTGGAAGTTTAAGTTAATTTTCCCTCTAGAAATGTTAGCTGTTTTATAATTTAAAAGTGTTTAGAAGATTTAACGAAGTCACTGTGACTCAATGTCTTGAGGACCTTAGTGAAAGTAACTCGTGGCTTATGACTTGAGGACCTCGGTGGTAGTAACTTGTAATTCCATGTCTTGAGGACCTCAGTGGCAGTAACTTGTGGCTCCATGTCTTGAGGACCTTAGTAAAATTAACTTATGACTCCATGTCTTGAGGACCTCAGTGGAAGTAACTTGTGATTCCATGTCTTGAGGACCTCAGTGAAAGTCACTTGTGGCTTTATGACTTTTATGTCTTGAGGACCTCAGTGGAAGTAACTTGTGATTCCATGTCTTGAGGACCTCAGTGAAAGTCACTTGTGGCTTTATGACTTTTATGTCTTGAGGACCTCAGTGGAAGTAACTTGTGATTCCATGTCTTGAGGACCTCAGTGAAAGTCACTTGTGGCTTTATGACTTTTATGTCTTGAGGACCTTAGTAAAATTAACTTATGACTCCATGTCTTGAGAACCTCAGTGAAAGTAACTTGTGATTCCATGTCTTGAGGACCTCAGTGAAAGTAACTTGTAATTCCATGTCTTGAGGACCTCAGTGGCAGTAACTTGTGGCTCCATGTCTTGAGGACCTTAGTAAAATTAACTTATGACTTCATGTCTTGAGATCCTCAGTGGAAGTAACTTGTGATTCCATGTCTTGAGGACCTCAGTGAAAGTCACTTGTGGCTTTATGACTTTTATGTCTTGAGGACCTTAGTAAAATTAACTTATGACTCCATGTCTTGAGAACCTCAGTGAAAGTAACTTGTGATTCCATGTCTTGAGGACCTCAGTGAAAGTAACTTGTGATTCCATGACTTGAGGACCTCAGTGGTAGTAACTTGTGACTCCATGACTCGAGGACCTTAGTAAAATTAACTTATGACTCCATGTCTTGAGAACCTCAGTGAAAGTAACTTGTGATTCCATGTCTTGAGGACCTCAGTGAAAGTAACTTGTGATTCCATGACTTGAGGACCTCAGTGGTAGTAACTTGTGACTCCATGACTTGAGGACCTTAGTAAAATTAACTTATGACTCCATGTCTTGAGGACCTCAGTGAAAGTCACTTGTGGCTTTATGACTTTTATGTCTTGAGGACCTTAGTAAAATTTACTTATGACTCCATGTCTTGAGGACCTCAGTGGAAGTAATTTGTGATTCCATGTCTTGAGGACCACAGTGAAAGTCACTTGTGGCTTTATGACTTTTATGTCTAGAGGACCTCAGTGGAAGTAACTTGTGATTCCATATCTTGAGGACCTCAGTGAAAGTAACTTGTGACTATGACTTGAGGAGCTTGAAGTGAAAGCAACTTGTGACTCCATGTCTTGAGGAGCTTGAAGTGAAAGCAACTTGTGACTCCATGTCTTGAGGACCTCAGTGAAAGTAATTTGTGACTTCATGTTTTGTAGAACTCAGTGAAAGTAACTTGTGACTCCATGAGTTGAGGACCTCAGTGGTAGTAACTTGTGACTTCATGTCTTGAGGAGCTTGAAGTGAAAGTAACTTGTGACTCCATGACTTGAGGACCTCAGTGGTAGTAACTTGTGACTTCATGTCTTGAGGAGCTTGAAGTGAAAGTAACTTGTGACTCCATGACTTGAGGACCTCAGTGGTAGTAACTTGTGACTTCATGTCTTGAGGAGCTTGAAGTGAAAGTCACTTGTGACTCCATGACTTGAGGACCTCAGTGGTAGTAACTTGTGACTTCATGTCTTGTGGAGCTTGAAGTGAAAGTTACTTGTGATTCCATGACTTGAGGACCTCAGTGAAAGTAACTTGTGACTTCATGTCTTGAGGAGCTTGAAGTGAAAGTAACTTGTGATTCCATGACTTGAGGACCTCAGTGGTAGTAACTTGTGACTTCATGTCTTGAGGAGCTTGAAGTGAAAGTCACTTGTGACTCCATGACTTGAGGACCTCAGTGGTAGTAACTTGTGACTCCATGTCTTGAGGAGCTTGAAGTGAAAGTAACTTGTGACTCCATGTCTTGAGGACCTCAGTGAAAGTAACTTGTGACTTCATGTCTTGAGGAGCTTGAAGTGAAAGTAACTTGTGACTTCAAGTTTTGTGGACTTCAGTGAAATCTGCAGCACTGCAAAATTGGTAAAAAAAAATTCTTACAAAATGAAATCATAGAATATGAAATGCTTGTATACAGGTAGCATGTTTTTTTTTTTTATTTCTCATTCATGTCGATTTCGTGAAAAGATAACGTGAATGTTAACAAAAATGAAAGAATTTTCTGGTTGTGAATCTTACATGGTAGACTATCGTATAAACCAATAGATTTCACATAAAGTGAATTCAGTGTTTGATGTACCAAAGCAAATCAATTAATATGTTCACATGACAACTTCCAATTTCAAAAAAAGATTACGATGTCTGGCTTCATTGTAGATTTGTGGTTGCTTAGATCTTGCGCTGTAAGTACATGCATGGATGCCAAAAGTAATTACACTAGATTGCTGTGATATTCTCTTCATCACACCATGGCTAATACACAAATTTTACAGTGCTCATTTATGTACTTTATACTTTAATAAGCCTTTATTTAAAAAAAAAAGAAATCAGAATAAAAATGCATTCCACAGCTGGCCACACAGAATACACACTCTGAATGGTCAGTCAACTCATGAATATTCATGTATTTTAATGATTTCTCTTCAACAATAAAAACAGAAAAATTTCTGGTTAATTTTTTTAATGGATATATATATATAATAAAAACTTTTTCACATACAGAGCTAATTCACATGTACTCATCAGTCTTTATCATCTTAGTATTGACTTTCAGCATACATCATGTTTTTAAATGGACCAGAAAGGCAATTAGGTTTTTTAATTAGAAGATAATTAAAAATTTTCTATATAAATGATGAGATTGACATTGTTTTGTTTTATTGGTTTAATAATCATGCGGTGCTTGTATTTTTAGTGCCTTCTATATTTTAGTTCTGTCAGGCTGTTTTTGATTGAGTTTTTTTACAGCCAGTATGATGTGATATAGTTGTAGAAATCAAGAGTTTATTCATGTTTGCACGAACCCTCTGGATCTACTCCTGTGCCACACAATGGTGATAGGGATTTGTCATCTCTTGTGTTTGTACGTGGCAATGCACAGTACTTACAGTTGTACATGTGACAGTGGACTGTGTGTGTGACACATTGGCTAATGGTATTATTA